GGAGCAAAACAGAAAATAGGAGATGTTTCTTTTGGGGAACGATTGGTTGGTGTCAAGGAGTATACTGTATATGTATTAAAAGTGTGGAGTGCTAATGATCAATGGGAAGTTGAACGACGGTACCGTGATTTCTTTGCACTTTATCAGCATCTAAGAACTCTTTTTTCTAACCACGATTTAAGTCTTCCATCCCAATGGTCTTTCGTTGAGAGAGAATCAATGAAAATTTTTGGAAATGCATCACCAGATGTTGTCAGCAAGAGGAGTGTTCTTATTCAAGAATGTTTGCACTCAGTTCTTAACTCAAGATACCCTTTTGGATTTCCAAGCCCTCTGCTCTGTTTTTTGTCCCCAGGCAAGATGGCTTATAATTCTAGCTTGTTAAAAACTCTAGTTCCCCAATCCCTTCAAAAGCTTGGGAAGGGTTGGAATTCAAAGTTTTCAACTTATAAGGATTCTCCAGAAGATCATTCTGAATTGGGGAAGACAATACCTCTTGTGGTTGACATAAAGCCTCGAAAGTCTATACAACAGTTGTTGGAATTACAGCATTATACTTGTGCAGGATGCCACAAACAGTTGGATGTTACAAAGACATTGTTGGGGGAGCTTGTTCAGACATTAGGATGGAGAAGGCCACGGTTTTGTGAGTATACTGGTCAGTTATTTTGTGCGTCATGTCATACAAGTGATACTTCAGTTCTGCCAGCAAAAGTCTTACATCACTGGGATTTTTCTCTTTATCCGGTTTCTCAGTTAGCAAAAGCATATTTGGAATCCATTTATGACCAGGTAATCTGTGAATTAGCATTTTTTGATCATGCGTATCGTCCTTGAAAATGATTAATGTTTGCAAGATATGATCTATTGTTTTTCTTATTAAAGGTTAGGCATAGACTTGTCTTCCTAAACTTATAACATGAGAGTTTAAGTTTTTTGTGGTCAGTTGATGTAATTTTTGTGACATGGAGAACTCTGGATGAAGAATCTTCTTGCTTATTTTAAATGCTAATACATGCCACATCTTTTTTTTCCAGCCAATGCTCTGTGTGAGTGCAATGAATCCCTTTCTGCTTTCCAAAGTACCAGCTTTGCTTCATGTTATGGGTATCAGGAAGAAAATAAGTGCCATGTTCCCATATATTCGCTGTCCTTTCCGAACCTCCATTCAGAGAGGCCTTGGATTTCGCCGACATCTTCTTGAAAGTAATGACTTTTTTGCACTACGAGATCTTGTCGATCTATCAAAAGGGGCGTTTGCAGGTATCTTGTAATTTTATGATTTTTCATTAATTGAGTAATAGCTTCATAGCAGGCACACCCAGGGAGCAATACATGTAGACAAGCTCTTAGCACAATGCCTCATGCTGCAAAAGTAAAAGAGGGTGGACTGTTTGAGCACATGTATCAAGATAGAACATCATCAGCAATATTGGACTCTAAGCATGCATATATATATATATATATATATATATATATATATATTTATATTTATATTTATGTACTTATATATATATATATATAATTTTGAAACACTGAACTTGTGTTTTAACAATAAGAAAAGAACTTATATATATATGTATATTTATGTATGCATGTATGTATAGAGAGCCATAAAGGTCCAATTGTGAGATAATGAATCACCTAGCAAGAACATTTGCACATAATTCCCGACTAACATGTATTAATACACATTCCAAATGTATGAATTTGTCAAAATCCATTTCACTTGCTATTCACATTGTTATCATATAAAATTTTGAAACACTGAACTTGTGTTTTAATAATAAAAAGAAAAGAAAGGAGTTTGTGTAAATTTTTTTTATAATCTTCATCATGTTTCACTCTTCAAGTCTGATATCCTTCCGCTTCTCTCTTTATATGACTTTCTTGATGTCAAACAAAAAAAAGAACATTAAGGGAAAAAGTAAGGTGTCTGACCATTTTATTAGTTAAGCCATATTTTCTTGGTATGTAGTCTCTAACTATTAACTCCTCTTCTGCTAAGTTACTTGTTTATTCGTTTTCCCCACCTATCTTCAATTCTTTTTCTTTTTGAACATTCTGTTGAGTTTTACACTGCAAAAAATCCAACATATGGAGACTAAACAATCTAGGATTTTATTTCATAATCTGTAAGAAGTTCTTAATCTATTTCTGATGACCTTGTGCATAATCGAGAACAGAAATCTTTAAAAGTTCCTTGTAAGTCAGTCACATAATAATTCTCTTTGTTGAATACATAGGAAGTAGACCTTAAGTTTGGACCACAAACCAGTATGGAGACTTCAAGAACCATGTAAACCTGAAGTTTTAGAGCAAAAATGAACCATTGCTTGTACTCTTTTACCTTTTTTTTGTTATGGTAATATGTAGTGTATGTATGCTACTGAACATGTACATACATATGATGAAGTGTTTGTATATTCAGTCCTGTGCAAATGACTAACTACAAGCATAACTGTATACTTAGCAACAGTTTGATGCTTGCTTGCTTGTGTTTATCAATATACTCTTGAGAGTGCCTTTATCTCTATCTGATTCCTCTCTTCTTTACATTGGCAGCACTTCCCATCATGTTAGAAACTGTTTCAAATAAGATCCTCGAGCACATCACACAACAGTGCCTTGTGTGCTATGACACTGGTGTTCCTTGTGCCGCCCGGCAAGTCTGTGATGACCCGATGTCTCTCATATTTCCCTTTCAGGTTAGTCTCTCTAATTCATTAGTTACAAGTGATAATCTTGGAATAACCTAGTTGGATCATCCCAATCATGAAGCTCACGAGCCACCTACTGAATCGATGTTAATCATGGTCAACTTGCTTGCTGGCATTTTTGGATTGATTTTGGGTTTGATCATAATGTTTTTTAATTTTAAATCTTGACCTGATCACAAACTATTCTAAGTTCCAACCTCTTTTTTTTCAAGTCTGGCTTACATCCAAGCTCTATCAGACCTTGTGATGACCCATTGATAATACAAACATGTGAGGTTCATGTTAGGTAACCTTGATAGGCAAGTGGATTTGGTACTATTTGGATCTATGCTTGTCAGTTGTACTACTAAGCTTGACTGGCCTGGAATCAGCCCATTGCAATTTGATGTACCTTATAAACTAATATATCAGGATAGGTGATGGTGGAATTTTACTTTTCATTACAGGAAGCTGAAGCTGCTAGGTGTGGTTCCTGTGGGTCCATCTTCCACAAGCCTTGCCTTGCAAAGGTGATCATCTGCCCTTGTCGCAAGCCAACTGGCGCAACCAAAAATCTAAGTATCCAAGGTCATGTTGAGAGTGAGGAACCATTGGATGAACTGATTTTACCTTCAAATTCCAATTCAGCTTCAAATTTATTCTCTAATGCTTTACTTAAGGCAAAGCCAGACAGAATATGGAGGCCTAAAAACCGAAGCCCTGTGATTCTCATGGGTTCTTTACCAAGCAGTTGATTGTAATTACAATAGTATCTTTTTTTTCCACTGGACTATGTTGAGGTGGCTGATTTTGCTGAACGTGGGGCTTCAGGATGTGCCAGTATTATGACATTGCACCAGATGACAAGCGGGATCAATGTATTCTTTGTTGGATATCTGCCAAGTAATAACAGGAAGCCATGTAAAATTTCTTGCTGTATCTATTGGATTCTTCTGAAAGAACCTTTTTACATGCCATTGTTCCTGCAGTTTGTCCTTGCGTTGCTTGGATGAAGTCAATAATTTTGTGTAGTTGCTTTTCACCTGTGGTGTAACCTGATGCATTTGCCTTCAAATATTTCCAAATTGAGTCCATCAAATCTTTGCATTTCTGATTACAGGTATAATTGAACTATGGGTTTGTAATGGCAGGCTTGTACATCTGTTGATCAGTGTCATAGGCAAGAGTTATCATGCTGCCATAGGGACCAACTCCAGATGCTGAATCATGCTGTGCTATAAAGGTATTCTTGCTGACCCATACCATAAAATGATAATGCATCTATTTATTTATTTATGACCAGTGATTTAATTTGGTTCAAGGAGAATAAATAGTTATGCGGTCTGGTGGCCGATTACTTATGATTGTTGCCAAATAGTGTCTCAAGAGTTATAACCAACATGATAACAATAGATATATGAGAATTGAACTGCTAGAAAATCACATAGCAAAAATTCAATGGTTTTCCTTAACTTATTTGTGCTAATTACTCTAGTGTTTCATATGCTCTTTTGAAGCCAATTCTGTCTTTTTCCTTAATTATGATGGTTATAGGTATTTTTGTAGTTGCAACAATTGCATATTCTTCTCCTTGAAGGTTCCTATCAATCATTTACCATGGTTTTTCCTTCATAAAATGATATTTTTATTTTGAACTACCATATGGTTTTGGGTTTTGAGTTTTGACTTAAGAATTGGTCTTATATTGATGCTCTTATATTCCTAAATCCTGGAAGAGTCTTGGTTGTAGTTTCATGCTCTGTATGGATCTGTAAGCTTCTTGTGGATCAATCCTCATGAAAAATAGTAAGTATCCAATTAGCAGTGATAAAAAAAATATATCTCATAGTGTATCTTTCAGTTAAAGAATAAAATAATAATTTCGTGATATAATAGTTCACTGACAATTGAACCCTTACCAATCTAATCTGAGACCCAGCAAGTCTTTTTTTTTATATTTTTAAATATAAAATAAAAATTAACATCATATTCTAAGAATGTGATTTGCTTCAACACATCCTTGCATTACTATTTAGTAAAATTATATCCATAATAAGAATAACAATAATATAATTGGATGATGATAAAAATTTAAAGACAGATTCATACTTAGTCAATAAGATCGAGATTTGAAACCTTCGGACAATCAAATTAAACATAGGATATTAGTTAATAAAATATAATAATTGTATCGTGACCAAATAGATACTTTTGTTTTTGTTTTTTTTTTGTCTCTGACGAACATTACAGGAAACATTTTATTGTTATTATTAATGTCATGTCTTTGTTTTCAACTACAAAACCGTGTGTTTGTGTTCACCTCGATACGCTCGAAGCACTGCCACCAACGACGGTAAGCAGCGGAAGAAGGCCAACATAAGTAGTCGGTTTGCTCTGTGGAAGAAAGAAGAAAAGAGGAAGAAAGAATAAAAGAAGTAAGAAAGAAGCGATGCAGAGCGCCGCTATCTCGCCCTCCGCCGCCCCTCCCCTCCTCCGAAGCTCTACCAAGCCGCCGGCTCCTCGGTGGTCGCCGCTGCTCCTCCCTCTCCACCGCGGTGGGCCTCGCCTGCGGCCCCTCGCCGCCGTCCCCTCATTCTCCGTCGTTGCCTCCTCCCATGGTCCCTCGGTCCCCCGCCCCTGGGTCTCCCTCCCGTCTCTCTCGGATCGGAGGCCCGAGGATGGCCTCGCGGTCCGTGCGACCTCCGTCCCCGACGGCGACGCTGCCTCCAAGGATGCCGGCGGAGGAGGGCTGCTGCAGACGCTGCAGCTCGGGTCGCTGTTTGGTCTCTGGTACCTCTTCAACATCTACTTCAACATCTACAATAAGCAGGCACGTGTTCTCTCCTCTTCCTTCGTTTCGTCTTTGCGATGTTAATCTGGTACTGGCGGCTCTGAATCCCTCGATTACAATTGCTTTCCCTTTTGCTTCGGATCTGGAGATCACTTGTTTGGGTACTCCACCCTAAATGATCCGAGTTTCTATTTTGAATGAAAGATTTAATGGTTTTCTCTTGCCGTACGAGTTACAAATGACTACACTTTGCCGGGATTCTCCTCTAAATTATTTTCATTACAAACTCTGATGGGTTTGTTGAGAAAATTTCTGCAGCATATCGTTGAAGTGGTTGCTAAGATAAAAAAACAGGTCTGTTAGATTTCAGGGGTATTAGTGTCAGATTTGATTAATGATTCACATAGTGGGGCCGACTCGTCATGCATCAGAACCAGATCTCCGAGGAGGTTGGATGCTTTCTCTTGGTGATTTCCTCGTAGGAATGTCCAGGGAAATCACTCCAATCCCATACTCAAGTCAAGTCAGTGAGAGGTTCAATGTATGAGATAAAAGTAAAATATCATATTTGAACTCCTGTTTATAGAGTGGTGAGAGGAATATTCTTAGACTAAGGAATATTCTGAAAAAAATCCTCCCCTTTAGCTTGTACTGACGTGATAGTTCTAGCTTGATTACGCTGTGTGTGTCAAGTCCTCATAGACCTGATATATTGGCTGGGAGGATAAAACAAGTTCAAAATCAATTCATGTAGCATGAAATGTGGTGGTCTTTGCACACTGATATGGTTTTTTTATTGAATTATTTCTCTTTGTACTATGGAGGGCTTGTTTTCTATAGCAAACCTGGCACAGGTTACTCAAACAGCTCATGGCCAGATACTGTGACCCTCTTAAAAGCTGAGCCAGGAAGAATATTTGCTAATACCAGAGTAAGCAATATTAAGTATGTTTTTGTATTTGCATATGTAAAAAGGCATATATGGTCTAGTGACCACGTTAATAGAGCCACAAAGCTCATAGACAAGAGACACATAAGATATTGTGAACTTGCATCAAAGTATGTCCTAGGTATTCATGTGAGTAGAAATTCGACAATGGATGAAAGCTGATGACCTTGGTTGTCAAATCTTTTGAACCCTTTAGACTTCCTATAGTCCAAACAACACTTCTTTTTTGACCTCCTTTGAGGTTGGTAATGCTCATATTTAGAAGTGTTTTTTTTTTTGTTGATAATTTCAACTTTATTTGACTCCATACTATACAGAGGATTTTAAAATTTGATTATAGTGACCTGGTCACTAGTTTCATGGTCATCAATATTACTTTTGATCTGGTTTAGGTTCTAACATGATGGATGTAGTTTGTCCTTGGTTGACCCTTATGTAATTTTATATGCTTATTGTAACAAAAAGAGAACAGTAAAATCTGGAGGATGTCAACAAACATAATTGTTTCTAAATTAGGTTCAGCTGCTTAGGTAAATATTTTGTACTGTTGACTTCTTCTTAACGCATGGAAACACATAAATCTGATGAGATGAAGAAAACTTTTGTGGTTTGTTTCATCTTAAATTGCTGTTAAAGGTGATGGCTGAAGATTTTTAGGGTGTATTCACAATTAATAGGTAATGCAGAGATGGGTGGATGTGACATTTCTTATTTTCAGATTTAACAAATATATTTCCATTTAATACTGAGATGTTATTGAAGTGATCATGTGATGAGTTACTTTCTAGCTGAATTTGGGGCAAATATATATTAGTTTCTTTGGCTTTTGTATCATATTGTTTTAGAAGGAAAATGTTTTTGTTGATAAACTGTCAGTAGATACCTTCTGTGATGTGAAATTGTGAAGCACATGACATTAGGTGTTTCCTTTTCGTTGTCATCTGATGTGGCATATGTAACATATATGTTTCCTTTACATGTCACAGGTTCTGAAGGGTTTTACATTTCCACTTACAATCACAACAGTTCAATTTGCAGTTGGAACTTTTCTTGTCTTGTTTATGTGGACCACCAATCTATACAAGCGACCAAAGATTTCTGCTTCACAGGTATGTGATGCTTAGTTGAGAATTACAAGAAGTGATCAGTTAGAAAGCTTTTTTCTAATTAGGACATCTTCTTCAGCTTGCTGTCATCTTACCATTAGCTATGGTCCATACAATGGGCAACCTTTTTACGAATATGAGTCTGGGAAAGGTTGCTGTTTCGTTCACACACACAATCAAAGCTATGGAGCCTTTTTTCTCTGTACTTCTTTCTGCCTTATTTTTGGGAGAGGTAATTCCTTTTTTAACTTTTCACATTTTTGCATAAAAGTTAAAACAAGACCTTATGTCTGGATGAGTCAATTGTTTTTTTATGTTTACTTTGTATTCTCAATGCCTTAAAAAACTGTGCAGTTTGAAGATTGTAATCTTTCTAAAACTTAGGCCATCAGCCATCTGTTTATGTGCTTCTTACAAAGAATTAGTAGAACTGCAGATATTTATTCTTTGACTATTGGACCATTAACCTGCAGAACCATAAATAAATTTCTCTTTAAACTGTAATTTATAGCTTCAACATTTCATGAGTTTGCTCCATAAAAAATAGTTTCTTACTTGATGTGAAGCAGATGCCTACCATATGGGTTCTATTATCTCTTGTGCCAATTGTTGGTGGCGTGGGATTGGCCTCTCTCACTGAAGCTTCTTTTAATTGGTAAAAGATCATGACTTTTCAAATTTAGAGCTTATTAAAAAGGTTTGGAAAATATTGACGATTGATTGCATGAAGCACTCAAGGGCTTTTCTGTCCCTCTCTCAAATGAAAACAGTTCTGGTTCAGAAGTTTAGAATCTTTATCGGTTGATTTTTTGCTGTAATTAGGGCTGGATTTTGGAGTGCGATGGCTTCCAATCTGACCTTCCAATCCCGGAATGTGCTTAGCAAGAAAGCCATGGTTAAGAAAGAGGTGATATAGATATCTAGAAGAATGTATATGCTACGTATATAATGTAATCTTTTATAACATTATTATGGTTGTTCCTTGTAGGGAAATGTATCACTTAGTTATAATGAAGCAACTTTATGAAGAAAATATGACAACTTTTTTTCTGTTGTTACAGGAATCATTGGACAATATAAATCTCTTCTCTATAATAACTATCATGTCATTTTGCCTTCTAGCTCCTGCAACTTTTTTTGTGGAGGGCATCAAGGTTACCCCTTCATATCTGCAGTCCGCTGTAAGTACAAGTCTCAAAAATGCAAATTCTTGCTTAATTGTACATATAGATATATAAAGTTTTTACTAAATGTCTATATCTACATATACAAATTGTTGTACATATAAGTGGTTCTTCAGAAATATGTAATTCTAATGTTATTTTCAATTTGGCTTGGTGTTCTAGGGTTTGAATTTTAAAGAGATATATCTGAGATCTCTTCTTGCTGCACTCTGCTTTCATGCTTATCAGCAGGTGAGATATTCTAAATTATTTTTCATATTTTGTGCATAGACATCTGTGCTTCCTGAGATCATATACTTTTCCACTTAAACTTGTATTCAGCAATTTGGTCAATGTGTTTATGTTTCTAAAATATTTTGATTGATAGACAAATTAAAAGGATGCTCGCTCTCATGTTTTAAATATAGGAGTAGCTTGTTTATGTTTTTGTGTCACTGGTAATTTGCTTGCTTTTTGTATACTGGAGTTGATTTATTGAGAATCACATACATTCACAGATACAATTGCAAATATTTTCTGCTTCATTTGCAATTCTTTCTCTTTCCGTCTTAGTGCTGTGTCTAGATTGGGCTAGAATCTTGTAAATAACATAATTGGAACTATATCATTATATTGTTGGCCACTATGCTTCAAAGTTGATGGTGTTTAGAAGCTTAGATACCACTATTTGGGGTTTCTTTTAGTGTGCAAGTGATCAAAAACAATGGCAGCATAACAACGATCACTTCACTTCCAACTATTTAAGTTTACATGGATCTTTCCCTTCCACTGACGTGCATCAAAGCTGATCTTCTCATTTAGACAATTATCTCATTCTGCCTCCACTTTTACCCATTCCTTTGGCCTTCTCTCCCTCATGAAACTTCACATCTGCATCTGCTTTTCCCTCATTTGTGCTGATTTTTTTTTTGGATGTTAGAAGCTGAAGTTATGTACCTGCTTATCCTTGTTTGGTCATGCTCCCAGCCTAGTGTCTAGGGAAAAAGAGATAACAAAGTGTTAAAGAAGTAGAAATGGAAAGTCTTTGCTGGCAAGATGAAATGAACATACCAGATTGTAAGTGACAGAAGATGCACTATTGGTGGTGAATATCTGCTCAGAGTGCCTGATAAGATTGGAGTACATATATGTTAAGAATATCAATAGAGTTGTGCAGTTTCTTGCCACTTTGATCTAGGATAATAGGCCATTTCTAAATCCAAGCAAGGGCTAAGATGCACAATGAATCATTTGGATGGGTCTTGATATGTATTGGTGGACTTGGAAAACTTAAAAGCCTCTAAAACACTGACCAGTTTTCAGACTAGCTCTGAAGACATCTTTTGAAAAGAGACTATACCTCTTAATGCTCTGTAGTCTAAAACTGCAGAAATGCTGGTACTGAAGTTTCACACATTATAACTCATACTACTATGGTTTAGAGCTTATGAAGTTTTGAGACGTAGATAGTAGAAGATAACATTAATAATCATTTTACTTTCTGATTACTTAAAGTTGGTAACATGTCATATCTTGCAATTTATTTTTATCAAGGACAGGTTCTCTTCTAGTTCATGGATCTTCATCTGCTGTCTCCTCTATTTCTAACAAATTTTTTTGACCTTCTTTCCCTTCACAAGCACTTCATTTCTTAATATACTTGTCGCTCCATATTGGTGGTGAATTGTTTTTCTTTTTTCAATATAGAACCACCTGAATTTGTCCTCATGATAGGCTTATTTGATTGTAATCCCAGCCATTGTTTACCAGATCCAGACTGTCCTTTGACCTCATTGGGAGACCCTTATAATTCAAATATATGGAGCATGGTTTTAGGTGTTTCTATTTTAAAATTTGTGTGGCTTGCAAGTCATTTACTTGGAATCTTGATGTCTCTGTGCTATTGCAAAAAACATAGTGAATCACCTATTGTCCCTTTATTGAACAAGAGGATACTCACTGTTCATGTATTACTTCTCTATTTACTCTGGTAAGCACAAGATATCTTTCTCTTCATCTGTTTGCCAATATGTCTTAATTACAAATATTATCTCACTTTTCTTCATCAGGTTTCATACATGATACTGGCAAGGGTATCACCTGTCACCCACTCTGTCGGCAACTGTGTGAAGCGGGTCGTGGTCATTGTGACTTCCGTCCTTTTCTTCAGGACACCGGTTTCACCCATCAACTCACTCGGTAAAACTTTATCTCCCTCCTAACCCTGCTGGTCCCATATCAGAATCAGTCACCCTGCGAGTATCACTTGTGTCCTCCATGCCTTTTATCAGGAAATGTTTTTGCTGCAGGTACTGGTGTTGCACTTGCTGGAGTTTTCCTCTATTCCAGGGTAAAGAAGATAAAGCCCAAGTCTGCATAACTAACCAATTTTGTTTTGTTCTGTGATGCGCTCCGAAGAGTTTTAATTCATCTTACAAATAAAGCGATATGTTGTCTTGCTGATTCGTCTTCTCCAATTTTCCATGGCATGTCTAACTGAGCCTGAGTTTGGAACAACAACTCCTGTTTGCTTCTCAACGTCTAGGTCTTTTTCCCAATGTAATTGAAATGGAGACTTGTGCTGCATGTGGAAGAACCATGACGGATTTCTTTGGTTTTGTGAGTGAAACATGGGATTGTTGTAGCTCACTTCACCATTCCATGTGCAACAGCAAGAGCGACATCAGAGCACAAAGGTGAATGCTTCTTCTGGTGTTAAGGTTCTTCGATGGTAAGAGTAAAAACATATTTGAATAATTTTTTGTTGAATTAGAGATATTATATTATACATATTTCGATGGGAAAAGATCCATAGTAGTTATATTTTCGTGAATTTATTGAACGATTATTATGTATGGTGGTTCTTTTTTGTGCATTTCTTTCCAATTGATATAGGAGAACAAATTTTGATTTGACTGCTATTACATTTTAAATACTATGGAATGGAATAAAGTGTGAAACCCGAACGACAAGATTGAAAACAGCATTGTTGCATGTCAGTTTTCTTCCAGGGGGGATTCGCAACAACCGCAAGCAAAGAAGGTTCCTTGGAATTACTTCCTCGTTGGGCCAGAATTGCTTTTTTGCGATAACACCAACTTTTTATCTTCTCGTTTGGTGTCGGTTTGACGGTTCGTGGTGGCTCCCGTTTCTTTCTCTTCTCGACGTGTTCTGCAATGGTCATCCTTTCTTTTTTTTCTTTACTTTGTCAAGTAAGATATTAATAATTTAATTACATAAATAATGTTTTTCGAGATTCATAAGATGATTAACACGCCTAATGATTAGAAATCTTTTTTTTCACTAAGATAATATCTTAATTTTATTAAAAATACAGAATCAACAAAAAAATTGTAGGAAATAAATTCCCCGTATATATATATATATATATATATCTTTAAAATGGATAAAATAACACGTAGTCCAAGTTGGAGAGGAATTGCGAGCCGCAGCCGTCACCCGTGACTTAGCATGTATCCTTTCGAGACAACAGTTCAGAAGATGGAAATCGAAGGGCTGCGGAGAGGCCACGTGGTGATCATTTATTGCCGACCACTCTTTCCCCTCCCCAACATATACCCAACCTTTCTCCTCCCTTCTCCGTCAAGAAGTGATCGGGTCGAAGAAAGAACCCCCATCTTTTCTTCCTCTTCCTCTCTCGCAAAGAAGAAGGCGACGTCATTTCATCGAACATGTCGGACAGCGGCGTGGTGACGGTTTACGGCAACGGCGCCGCGCTCTTGGAGCCGAAGAAGTCGTCCACCTTCTCGGTGAAGGTGGGGCTGGCGCAGATGCTGCGGGGCGGCGTCATCATGGACGTGGTCACCCCCGAGCAAGCGCGCGTCGCGGAGGAGGCCGGCGCCTGCGCCGTAATGGCGCTCGAGCGCGTCCCCGCCGACATCCGCGCCCAGGGCGGCGTCGCCCGCATGTCCGACCCCGGCCTCATCAAAGAGATCAAGCGCGCCGTCACCATCCCCGTCATGGCCAAGGCCCGGATCGGCCACTTCGTCGAGGCCCAGATCCTCGAGGCCATCGGGGTCGACTACGTGGACGAGAGCGAGGTCCTCACCCCCGCCGACGACCAGCACCACATCAACAAGCACAACTTCCGCGTGCCATTCGTCTGCGGCTGCCGCGACCTCGGTGAGGCCCTCCGCCGCATCCGCGAGGGCGCCGCCATGATCCGCACCAAGGGCGAGGCCGGCACCGGCAACATCATCGAGGCCGTCCGCCACGTCCGCTCCGTCATGGGCGACATCCGCGCCCTCCGCAACATGGACGACGACGAGGTCTTCACCTTCGCCAAGCGCATCGCTGCGCCCTATGACCTCGTCATGCAGACCAAGCAGCTCGGCAGGCTGCCCGTCGTCCACTTCGCGGCCGGTGGGGTGGCCACCCCGGCCGATGCAGCCCTCATGATGCAGCTCGGCTGCGACGGCGTGTTCGTCGGTTCCGGAATCTTCAAGAGCGGCGACCCTGCGCGCAGGGCCAGGGCCATCGTGCAGGCTGTCACCCATTACAGCGATCCAGAGATCCTGGCGGAGGTGAGCTGCGGCCTGGGGGAGGCCATGGTGGGGATCAATCTCAACGATGCCAAGGTCGAGAGGTTTGCCACCCGCTCGGAGTAGAAGGCAAGCACAGAAACAATCGGCCGTTTTCTCTTCGTTTCACAATTGGGTCGTTTCTTTACTGAATCAAAATAGCTTCTCATGAATTGCTTGCTTTATTATAAGCAGTTTAAACATTCTGCACTTAAATCTATAGGTTTTGTCTGCTCTTATTTCCACGTAGGTTTGTTTGCTTCTATTTGAATTATTTCTGTGGCTTAATAATGCATTTTAAGGCCCTTAAGGGGCCTAATTGCCTAACATGTTATGTTCTTTACATCCATCCATGATATGCTTAACATTATTTGGATTTGCTGGCATGTGGTTTATCTAGAATGATTGTTTATGTGTTTTGTCTATCTGAAATATATGTATTAGCTGCGAGACAGACATGTGTTTGATCTATAATGACTGCTTATGTGTTTTGTTTATCTGAAATATGTGTATCAGCTTCAAGACATTAGTATTGTATGGCTACAGAGAATGTATTGTTGCTTGGCAGATTTCATTATGCTGAATTTTGATGATCTTTGATGGCAAACCGAATCCCTCTTTCAGGTACAATTGTTTGTATATCTCCTTCCATCTTCCTAGCTGAGGATCTCAGTATTAATTTTGTTTTCTTTTTGTCTGGTTTTCTAAATGAATGCTTGATTGAGGTCACCATAGTTTCTTACATATTACACTAATCATGTATGTTAAAATAGGTGTCGCACTCAGTTGTGATATGGATGTTTAGGTTTATATCGTTTCAAGGAGGCACATTTAACCCTGCACTCTTGTTTGAGGCATTTGTTAGATCACTCTGAACTTGCACTGATTGAAATCCTAGCACTCTGTTATGTTTTATGCTGAAGAATTTGTGATTTATGATTGATTCAGAATGAATGATACTTTAGCTAATGAATGATTGTTATGTAATTTACTTATCGACGGAAAGGGGTATCTGATCCTGTCAAATGACATAAGTCTTTTTCTATGGGAGGCATGCTTGTTTATTTGAAGAAGGGTTAGAAGCATGGATAAGGACATGACACGGACACAACGATACGTCATTTTTTAAAAAATTATAGAGGTGGCTGGTGAGTGGTGGTGGTCTGAGGGGCCAAAGATTTCACCGGTGAGGAAGAAGGGAAGCTAGTGAGGAAGAAGGGTTCCTCCGCCCACGAGCACTGAGTCCGGCACGTGAACGTTGCATCCAATGAATTAAAAAATAAATAATAAAAAAGGACACGTGTTGGACATGTGTCCTATTGAGTCGGTGATAAATCTGTGTCTGACACGTGTCGGACACGGTACATGGCCCAAACTAGCATGTTCGTGCTTCCCAAGCAGGGTTCGCCATTTTGGGTATCGGACCCATCTTGGAGATTTGTTGGGTTGGTACGTATGGGTTTGTATCGATGTACCAATATACGGTATGCTGGGGCATGTCAATCAGGACACGGATGATCTGCGTCTTAGTCGCTGATCGGACAGGTCCATACCACCCGTTCTATACCGACTCGGGCGGTATAACAAACGTTGATTTGAAGAGCTTTGATTAGAGATCTATTGTTTTATAATAAGGGTAGCTTCAACCAAGTAATAGCAGATTTGATTTAATGATCATGTTTCATTACTGATAAACTTTGACATGCATGTAGTTGAGTGAAGTGACTACTTTAGGTCAACTTCGATCCAATCTGGTACAGCTGATTGCATTGATGAGTATATAGTGGATGATTGTGATCGTAGGAACTGTCAAAATTATATTGTTGTTGGAACTGAAAAACTATAAACACATTTGCAATCTAAGGATCTAATTTGAGTAGAGGTAAAATATCAAAGATTATTATCAGTAGGGTTTGCCATTTCAAGTACCAGGTCCATCTCAAAGATTTGTTGGTTTATATGTATCGGTCTATATCGGTGTATCAACACATGACGTTGGGATATGCCGATGGAGACTCGAGCGATTCACATCTCATAGTCATATCGGTCTGTACCACACATACCATACCGACTTAGGCGATACAACAAACGTTGATTATTAGTGTGGGAACTGCGTTAGAATTTGGAACTAGTGTTGCAGATGATTATTCCAACAGTCGAAAAATTAGATGATTATGGTGAGAGAAGTTGATTATGTATATGATGAATTAAAGAGGAAATTACGTTGAATAAGCAATTATCAAATACAGATGTCCTTTGGCTTTGATTACTATAGGAGACTGCATAAGTAGTATGGAAGACTCTTATTTATCTTTAAGATTAACATTATATAGTCATATAGGCATTCTTATTTCTGGGGAAGCAGTTTAAATTAGTATGTCTGATTAACAAAAATACATTTTCAGGTGTGTTTGCAGTATGTCTAAGGTAAACAATGAAGTAGGTATAAGTTGCTTGATAGCTTGTTTTCTTTTAATATTCCCATTCATCCCTTTCTTAAATGCAGTACCATATCCCTGTTGTCCTGTTATGTGTGTCTTGAAGCCTGAGCATTCATCCTCTGGCTACAGATGCGATGTTTGAAGGTATCATGATTATTTTCCTCGTGACAATAATATAAGGTTGCCTGGAGATTATTTGCTAGGAAAGAAACACTGTGTGTTGCATGATGTGTAAAAAAAAAAAAAGATAGGAATGATAACAAAAGGTGTTGAGATACATTATAAATTGAATCCAGATGTTATTTGATTAGATTTTGATGTGAGTCAAATTCTAATTAGTCCATTAGAAGTAGTTGCAAAGTCTGTATTTTATGTTATAAAGCAGTCCAATCGGATGAGTCTTGTTCCTCTTTCTTATACTATGTAATACGCTTCGTACAGGGTTTGTGCTGTCCAGTAAAGGATGGTACAGGACACCGTTGGGGGTTGTGGATGATTACTGTGGATGAGAGCAGAGGTGAGAGATGAGAGCTGCTTTACATTTACGTTGATGTCGATGCATTTGTTGAGCGTCCCTACATCGGCGTTAACGTAGTTGTTGAGCGACAAAATGATTGCTCACTTCATCGGTGTTGATGTAGTTACCAAGCGACAAAAGAGTCGCTTACTACGTTGATGTCAACATAATTGTCGAGCGACGAAAGGGCCACTCGACATTTGCGTCGGCACCGACGAAGTTGTCGAGCAGCGTTGCTCTACATTTATGTCGGTGCCAATGCAGATGTCAAGCAACCCTTTCATCGCTCGACAACTACGTTAATGTCGACACAGATATAGAACGTTGAAAAGGCTACTTGATAATTGCATTGACATCGACGTAGTTGTCGAGCGACGTCGTTCTGCATTTGCGTCAGCACCGACACAGATGCCGGGTGAACCTTTCGCTAGCTTCGTTCGGTACGCCACGTAGATATAGAACGATTCTCACCTCTCGTGATCACTCTTCCTATCCACAACAGTCAATCATGGCTTTCAATGGCATCATCGTTCGTCACTATCAATCAAAATGATTGAAATTATTTTTTTCTCATTATTTTTATGTTTTTGTCGATAAAATCAACGATATTATAGTATATAGACTTAGATGTTTCATAAGTGTTCTGGTTCTAACATATATGTTGTGGATGCAACGAAGTAAAGACAAAGGTGTGCAGATTTAGGGACGAGCGTCTGGTATTGTTCTGTAACTCGCTATGGAACAACGCTACTACAGCCTTGTACCAGACTCGAGATTTTAAACACCGATCAGATCGATACGCAACAAGCAGTATCTATCGGCTTGATCAAGTACCCAAGTCCATAATATCAGTGCATATATAACAAAATTTTATTTTTATTATTTTATTCAAGTATACACTCGGGACACTTTGGTGGTAAAGTATCTGACCTAACTCTATATTGAAATTATAAGATCTTAAAATATGATATAATTTTATGTTAGCTGTCAGTAATCTAATGCAATCCTCAATATTTTTTTTATTTGAGACCAGCATTGATAATAAATACAGTCTACCCACCTAAGTATGGGAATTGATAGGTTATAGAAACCCTGATTGGACTAACCATAACTGTAGAGAACCAAGGTAACAAGCAAAACAGCATGTTTGGAAGATCACATGTGATCATGGTTCCATAATTACCAATGCTTGCAGGGAATACACGTTTTGTATGTTAATAATTCAATAACAGTGTGCAATAAAATAAACAGTTTTATTTGAAAAACTACTACTGGTTCTTCCAAAAGCTAAGTCGACAAACACTATCAAAAAATTAAGAAGAATAAGAATTGAGCATAAAATGTTTTATGATCAATCTTAGATTAGAATATGCATTAGAAAGTATCTCTAATAACATTTAGAGAAGGTTGCAAACCACGTTCATTTCTGGCTCCTAGGAATTGATTCCACGTTCATTCATCCACTCTGTATCGTCCGGCAACGTCTCCACCCTTCCCCATCTGCTTTTCGTGTTGAGCGTTTGCCTGGCATGGAGGGCAGGCAAATTTTGGCATGAGAAATGGCCTCCTGGGTCATGCAACCAAAAATAATTTGATTAGGGGATGACGAGATAGAGTTATGAAATCAAATTTTTTATGTTCTTAGTGTTATTTGCACTGATAGCGCATGACCCTGGAACTACAAACAAAATAAAGGAAATCAAGTGAGGCATGGGCTGCCATGACTATCAACCCCTCTTTAACATCACCAATCAATTTCTAAGAAAAGAACACATGCCAGTCTAGTGCAAGAAAATAATATTATCCTATATTCTATTTTAATTTGCATATGCATCGATTTTCTTAAAATGTGTGAATTTTTTTACTAAATATAGATATTTAAAACTTTTTTTTCTAGGAATATCTCACTTGAGAAAGATAAAAGAACTTCATTCCTTAAGACAATGGATTGCTAATTACCAGATGACAACCTTTCATTCAGCTCAAATAGATGTCCCATGATGGTGGAGCTAATTATATACTATCCCTCAGTAGTTAGTTACTTTTAGTATCTTGGTCTCTATATTTTAAAAAATTATATTGGTCCCTATAGTTACGAAAATGAAACATCTATGTCCATTTATCATAACATTATTGGTTTTATCAACAAAAACACAAAAATAAAAGATAAAAATATAATTTTAATGTTTCAATTGGTGATGACGAACGATGTCGATGGTGGCAAATGGTGGTGTACCGTTGGAGGCTACGAGTGGCTATTGTGGATGAGGAGAATGATGACAAGATGTGAGGACTACTCTGCATCTACGTCGACATCGACACAATTGTCGAGTGTCCCTTTCGTCACTCTACATCTACGTCGATGTCGATGTAATTACTGAGCGATGAAAGGGTCACTCGACATATGCATCAATGGCCCTTTCACTGCTTGGCAACTGCATTAGCGTCGACGTAATTGCTGAGTGACGAAAGGGCCATCGACATAGATGCAGAACGACCTTCACCTCTCGTCAGCACTCTCCTCATCCATAATAGCTACCTGTGGCCCCCGACGACATCGTCGTCTACCACCACCAACTATAATATTAAATTTTTTTTTTTTCCTTTTGTTTTCGTATTTTCATTGTTAAAACCGATGACATTATGATAAAGGGATCTAGATGTTTCACTTTCATAACTATACGGATGCTAATGTAACCTTTAAAGTATAAGAACTAGGATATTAAAGATAGCTAACTATAAGGGATAATATATAATTAACCCCACGTTATTTAAAAACGACTATGCTCCATGCAGCCCTTGTTATTTTACTTCTCAGACTATTCAGTTGTCAACAATGCAATAATGTCAACAATATAATAATATGATGAATCAATAACTGAATAAAATTGGTGCTATGCTGAATAGGTGCTTGAAACATAAACATGTCAAGCATAAACGACTTATTTTGAAACAAAGGTGGAAAAACTCTTATCTTATTTCAGGTTACAAGATAACTTAATCCCAATTATTCGAGTATTTCTACGTTGAATCCATTGTATGATTTGCACCATAAACTTCATTCAACAATATGTTCTTAAAGCTATGCAATGCTAGAGAATTATTAAACAGAACCACATGGCCAAATCATATACTATGGTAGTCTCATATTCCATAATTGCAGTCTAGCTGCATTGATTGATTAATAAAAGGCCAAACATTTCGAAAAGCATAAGTTTATCATGTCATCAGTAAAGATTCTCGACCCTTGACATCCTTCCTGTAGCAGAAAAACAAACAAAATACAAGAAACTGCTATAGATACTAGTTGGCCAGTTAATTGAAGCTACTTCTTACAATGACATGATAACATTACTTCAGTCCTCTTTTGCCAGGTGTACTTGTGATGAAATTTGAGACTTATGTATGACTTCATTGTTGACTATTTGAAGCTGAAGGATCTTCTGTAATGTTCATTTATACATGCTAACAAGATATATTAAAGCAACAACAATTTGTACCATTAAACGTATCAGAAGGTAAAAATATAACTAGCTAGGCAAATTAAAATTGCATTAATTTCAATAAGAAGACAATATCATTACCTTCCTTTGATGAAGAAACCAAGATCTTGTAGAGTGATTTTGAGCCATAGAAATCATATCCTGGATTTCTCCAAATTGTTTCAACCTAGGAAACAGATAACTTCAAATTTTGCTTAAAATTAAAAAGAGCAGTTTACAATGTCAAGCAGAGCTCACATCCAAAGATGTTATAACCAATTCTATGTAGATTTAGAACCAAAATGATGCTTTATCGACTATGTCAAAAGAATCCATCATGTATAAGAAGGGATACATATATGCACTATTAAAGGAGCATATATAACAATTTCCTCCCAGTTCATTAAATAGAAGAAAACATGACTTTGAGAGACCATATCCTTTGGTCTTATTATTTTGATTTGCAAAATTAATCTTAAGATTTACTGTGGTGAACAATATAAATTCATAAGTAGTTACTTGCCATAGTAACATGGAAAACATTGTTATTATGACATCATGGGCGAAAGTAAACATGTCATACCAGAAGGTCTCACCCAAGAACAGGAGGTGTATCAATGCATAATGCCCTTCGCTTTGAGCACCATCACAGGATACACATTCCTCATACTTGCTCTTGAATAAACATGCTTTTGCCCCTCATCATAGGTTTCAACTGCAACACCTGCCTAAATCTAGTACGCATTCCATCTTCTATCCTTGTGCAAAGATCCTTCGGCAGAGTTTCCTCTCCTGCATCATTCAGCGCACTGCAAACCAGGTTATATGTGAACTCCCGCGGCATAGATCCACCAGCTGCCATCTCCACCAAAAAATCTCTTGCCTCCCTAACTCTCCCAGTCTCACACAATGCGTGAATAATAGGTGTATATGAACTTGAGGTGGGCTTCCCGTGGTTCCGTGATACCATGGCCCTCATCATCTCGACGGCCTTGTCTACTTGGTTAACAACGCTGTAGTACCTAATAAAAGAATTGTATGTAACCCGATTCGGGGAACAACCCTTCACCGGCATATCATCAAGCAGCTCATGTGCCCTCTCGATCCTATACGTCTTGCAGAGGCCATCGATCAAGCAATTGTATGTGACAACATCAGGTACGAATCCGTTGAACAGCATCCTCCGGAACATGTGATTGGCTTCCCAGATCCTCCTCCTGATGGCCTTCCGGCAGCCAGTCTGCAAGCTGTGCTTGCAGTAGGAGCTTATCAAGATCGTGTATGTGAAGGTATCGGGTGGGCACCGGGCGCCCGGCAGTTCCATCCGATCCAATAGAAATCTCGCCTTCTTGAAGTGGCCGACGCGGCACAGGGCCGAGATGACGGTGTTGTAAGAACGGACGTCGGGCTTGCAGTGCAGCTGCTTCATGCGGTAGAAGGCAGCCAAGGCTTCCTTGGTGAGGCCCTCCTCGCCGAGGACCTTGATGACCTCGGTGACTGTGGCGGTGCCGACGAGGGTCTCGTTTGCGCGGAGGAAGCGCCAGAGGATGGGAAGGCAGTTGGCCCGGGCGAGGAGGCGGGACATATCTCGGCAAGTGAGCTCGTCGTGGGGGAAGCCACAGCGGGACTCCGCCCAGGAGTAGAACTCAAGGGCGCCGGCGACGCCAAGGGCAACGGTGTCGGGGTCACGGCGGGCGGCGGGGCCACGGGCGGATGAGGACTCGCAGCGGAGGGAGCGCTGGCGAAGTGGGGAGCGGTGGCGGCCGGAGGGGCGCTGCCGGCCGACGGAGCGGGGGGAGAGGAAAAAGTAGGTGGAGATGGAGGAAAGGACGTCGCGGACGGTCTCAGAGGTCCAGCCGGGGAAGCGTGGGGAGGGAGGAGGGAGGGGCCGGCGCTGGAGAACGGCGGCGATCACCTGCCGCACGAGGAGGTGGCGGCGGCGGGGAGAACAGGACGCGGTGGTCGGAGGAAGGATTGCGAGGGAACTCATCTTTTGGCGATCGGAAGAAAATGGACGAAGGTGATGAGAAAACCGAACGCATCAACGGTCCAGATTTCACAAAGAGCGTATAAACGGTCTCGAACTCGTGCCCAGACAACAGAACAACGCTCCGCTCCGCTCCTCCTACGGTCCTACCCGTTCCTTAACAACCCCGTCAACTACCTGCCCAGTAACTAATCAAGACATGGTGGGTCACAGTGCGTCCAGTTACGGTGCAGGTATGTTAATAGGTATTCTCGGTCTTAGCCTTTTATTACAATAGTGTTCTATATGAAGTTGAAGAACTTTATCTAAAATTTACTCTATTAAATTCAATAATGAAGGAAGATGTGGAGTTTTATTTCATTATTTTTCCTCGACTCTCTTCAACTACATACACCATGGAATCTATTAAAAGAATATGATAATTAATCTGTATACATATACAAATGTCAACTACATTGATTGATCAATCATAATGTGCATTATACATTTTATGTGGTCAATTAAAATATGGATATACTTCTTTGTATTTAAGTAATTGTAATAGTGTTCCAAAACTTTATGCTCATGTGAATTAGGAATAATATGAGTACAACCTTTCTTCTTTTTTCTTTTGCAGAATAAAAAAATGATAAGTGAGTTATATATTTTCTCAAATCTTCACAGAATAATTTATTTTCCACTTTGGGAATTGAGAAGGAGAAAGTTGTCTTATAAAAATAACCCAACCCAAAAGTTAGTGTTAATTTACAAGACGCAGAGGGCTTTCATCAGAGGCATATGTTAATTTCTTCTATATTATTTTTCTATAGGATCGAAATGCAAATAGTCACAGATGAGAGGCATTTATTAGTAAAAGAAGTAAAACACGACCACCATATTTCAATATATATTTTATTTATTATTATAATATATGCATATATTTCTGTAGCATTGAAATAAAATAATCACAAATGGGATATTTTTTATAGTAAAGAAAACGAAAAAACATGTGATAAGTGCCCTAATTTTCTACGCTCGATAAATTGGTCTGCGTGCCGACCACTTCTGCGAGACCAACTGTTAGATCATTTCTTCTGTGTATATAGAGATATGCTAGATGCCTGTCTTCTGGGATAGTTCGGACCCCTGAAGAGACTCTTCCAAAAACCCTAACCCCCATCGATCCGTTCGGCTCCGCCTCCCTTCGTCGTCGGAGCGGCCCGTGAGCCATGGATAGGTACCAGAGGGTGGAGAAGCCGCGCCCAGAATCGGCCATCGACGAGAACGAGATCCGAATCACCAGCCAGGGTCTCATCCGGAACTATGTGAGCTACGCGACGAGCCTCCTTGAGGTCTGGATCCGTCTTCTTTCGGTGATTCCTTGTCGTTCGACCTTGTTGTTTAATCTATCACAGTGTTCTCCATCGGTTGTATGTCGCATGTCCCTGTTCTTCCTTAGGGTTTAAGCTAAGTTTCTATTGTTTACTGAAGAAACCTTAGATCTTTAGAACCATGAGATAATATTTTATGTTTTGTGATGGTATGTTTGACGAGTGATGGCGATTTTGAGATTTTCATGGCATATGCAAAACTGTTAAACCATTTACTGTGTTGCAGCATCAGCTATTTGTCAAAAGATATGGCTTTGACATATGAAGTATGGTACAGTCTACAGTCTCTCTCTCTCTCTCTCTCATCCGCTAAATTGTAATTGGTATGCAAATGTCATTAGGAACATTGTTATTTTTAGACATCTAAGGTTTATTCTAATATGCTACGCTGTCCAGCCATGACTTCAGGAGAATGTATGGGCCTATTCTAATACAGGACATGAATTATTTCATTAAGAATAAATATGTACTGTAAATTATGTACATATGTTGTCTGATGCTTGTTTTTCTATCAGTCACTGAACTTGCTGATTCTTGTTGCTTATTGTTGGTTAAAAATGTTTTCTTCTCTTTGATGATCAAATGTTATGGTGCTTGATGCAGGAGAAACGTGTTAGAGAGATTGTTATAAAGGCAATGGGACAGGCAATCAGCAAAGCAGTGACAATTGCTGAGATTATAAAGGTCAATTTAGTAACTTCTTTTCATTCTTTTTTTTTATTTTGCTAAAAGTGGTTTTAGTCTTCAGCTCCATGTATATTGTGTGCAGAAAAGGATACCTGGGTTATATCAAGATTCTGCAATCAGTTCAGTCAGTATCACTGATGTTTGGGAACCTATTGAAGAGGGTCTTGTACCGTTAAGTCTGCATCACATTTGGTGTTCATACATAATCATTTCCTAAAGAGCTTGAACCAAAGGTCTTCAATTTTTAAATTGTTGTGCAGCCTGGAGATGACACGTCTTGTCTCAATGATTTCAATATCTTTGTCAACCAAAGAGCTAAACGAAAACTCCCCCGGGTAAACCATTTGTCACATGTTGTAGTGTTGCATCTCAAACTTAATCTATTTGGCAGTCTCCTTTGGAAGGCTTTGCATGTTGAACTGTCTACCTTATCCTCATAGATTCCTTCTCTTTGGTAGGTATCAAGTTCCTTCACGTATAGAGCAGCCAAAGCATCAGCAAAGATATCAACAATCACAGCAGTATCAACAGCAACCACAGCTTCAACCAAGACAAGCGCAAGGCCAATTTTACGAAGGTACACATCTTAGTTATTGATCTTTTTAAGATTGTCTGTATTAATTGATTGGTTTTAATGCTTGTTAAAGATTCATATGTACGAGGACGTGGTAGAGGTAGAAGTAGAGGAAGAGGAAGGGGATGGGGAAGAGGATATGGTGGATATGCTGGCTATGACAATAATCAGGGTGGATATGGCACCTATCAAGGTGGATATGGTGACTATGGCTATAATCAAGGTGGATATGGTGGATATGAGCACAATCAAGGTACTTTAGTTTTACAGAACATTGCACCCAGAAAAATTGTCTTTTCCGTCTTTAAATTAACTGACGGTTCTTTTATGGTAGAAAATGGTGGATGGAACTCAAACTGGGGTCGAGGTGGTGGACGTAGTAGAGGTGGTTGGAATTATCGTGGTAAGCTTGTGTAGCCATATCTTTTGTGTTATCTTGCTGCTTTATAGTGTTTTTATTTGTTTATGTATGGAAAGTGGATTTGACAAATTGTAGCTTCATTAGTTGTTTCTAATTCTTGAGTGTGTATAAGATCTATGAGGCACTTGTAAGTATTGTATTTGTATCAAAGTTATGTTATGAGATTAAGTTGCAAACATTATATTATAGGGTTAAAAATGGGTCGGATGGATTATGTTTTGTGAGACATTGAAATCTGATTTCAGCAATCAGATGAGGATAAATTTGTCTGCACATGTTTTTATTTTCTTTCTGAAATTTGCTATTTGGAATCTTTCAGATACGAACATGATCACAGGTTCATGTCTATTGTTATCTGGATATTTAAATATCTAACTAATTTACATTAACCTAATTGGAGGTGTTATTGAATTGCTTTTATAAAAGTGATTTTATTTTTCCATTATTCCTTTTCTTCTCACACTTGCTTCATAAACGTTTTTCCCTATATGAAATATGATTGGTATGTTTGAGTTAGTGCTTTAATTATTTCTTGGGAGCATATCATATGCATATAATATTTACATGTGTTTCTTCTTTAAATACAATTTGGGTCTGTCATAGATCTGATTTATGTACATATGTGCTTATATATATGACTGCAAAATAGGTATTGTCCAATTTGTATCTGATTTTTCTAATATTTGATTGGTTTCTGATCCATTTTCATCCTTGTTAATATCTCCTCTGGGGAAAAATGTATCTAGATACTTGTAGTTGATAACAATTTGTTTCTCAAATATTACATTGAGACTTGTTTTGGTGTTGTGTTCCTATGACATCATATATATGGTATATTCCTGGATGATGAGGGTAATGGATGAGGGTTACAGCATTTCCTAAGTTGAACTTGAGTCATAGAGGGCTAGGCATCATCTAACTTATATTTTGACCTTTTCTTTAATAATCATGGGCATCTAACATATGCTTTTGTATCTAAAGTACAAAGATACATGCCAAAGAGGTGTTATCAAGGATATTTGATTAGAACATTACTTCTGAGCTAAACTTCTTGTCAGTTTACGATTGTGGAGGAACAAATAGAAGACAATAAATTTATTTTGGTCACTAGTTTATTATATCTCTTGCAAATTTTAGCAGGTCGAACTATATTTAGCAATACCAATGAATAGTTTGTTATGAGATCTTCTTTGTTATTCTTGCTTGTTCAGTCATGATGCATGCAATTGTATTTTAGTTGCTTTAACATGCTTTTTTTAGTTTCTTTATTCTACTTAGGGTACTGTTTTAAGTCGTGTCTTATCTAGTCTTAGGTTTCCAATAGAATGTTCAATATTAAACAGTGGATGTTAAGAATTCAAATGATTTCCATTAAAAAATGAAAGTAGGCATGCATACTCATTGTATATAGAACTTATGAGTTACTAAATTGCTTACATTTAATCTCTAAATAAATAAAAAAATTATATTGTCTACAGTATTTTTTTTTTCTAGGCACTCGCCTTTGTGCCTAGGTCTTTGCCCATCCAAGTTGGTTGTTCAGTGCTTAAAAACTTAATTATCTCTGTCAAAAAATTGAATCTTTATGCTGCAGTCAGAGAAAGTTAACCTACATCTTGCTAAAATAAGACTTTAAATTTGCTCGTACTCAAACATCTTTTCTTGAATTGGAAATTTCAGAGTAATTTCTGTTTCTATAGTATGTGCCGAGTTACTTGCAAATTCATGTTCTTCAACTAAATCAATTTTTAAATACAGGTGGAGGATATGGAGGAGGAAGAGGTAATGGAAGGGTTGGTGGGAGAAATTATGGTGGCGGACGAGGAAGGATGGGTGGCCGTGGGCGAGCAAACCAGGTCTAGCATCTTGTCTTTGGGCTTGGGGTACTTTCTGATGCACGCTTGGTTAGCTCAAGGAAAATCTGTTGGACTTATCTGGGATATCACCTGTGGATTGTGGTTGTGCAAGAGTAAGCTTTGATGGTTAGAAAAATGGTTGTGTTTTCCCATTCATATGTTTATGTTGGCTGCCCAAGTTAGATTTTGTTTCCCTATAATTGTGGAGTTACTAGAGAATGCTGTAGTCTTCTCCATCTCTCTTTGTTCATATACTTCCATCGATTCATACTAGTGCATCAGAAAATTCTATTTATGTGAAAAAATGAGCATCAGTTTTAATCTCTACTCTGATCTAATGTAATCAGATGATGTTCCTGTTCAAGCTGCAGATGCATTGTGGATTGTGGAACCCATGCTGATGGTTGACAAGTTGTTTAAATGGTCGAGTCTTTTTACATGTTAGTTTTTTGAATCTTGAAATCATATAACATACATCGTTATTTGAAAATGTTTCTATTTTTTTCTATGCTATATATATATATATATCTCCTTAAATTTAAGTTTGAAATAAACATCTCTCCAAAATCGAAAAACATGTATATATAACCATTGTGTTTAATTTATCAGTTAATTATCAATTGAAATTCTAAATTATATTAATATTTTTAAATAATTATGATGATTATAAGAATATTAAAAGAATTTTAGGTGTTTAATATTTTTTAACTCAAGTGAGCTGACGTGTCTGAAGGGCAAATGTGAAACTTAGAAAGGATGGATGTGTAAAAACGCCATATATAAAATATGTAATATTATTACTCAATTGCTTCGCCTTCTCCGAGAAGAAATGCCACGACTTGATATCACCAGGCGTTGCTTCCTCTCATCGGAGAAGACCAGAGATCAATGCCGGCCGCAGAGGGAGGCGAAGTGAAGCTCATCGGGTCGTGGCCGAGCCCGTTCGTGCTGCGCGCACGGGTAGCCCTCAATCTCAAGGGGGTGGAGTACGAGTACCTGCAAGAGAAGCCCGGGCCGAAGAGCGAGCTGCTCCTGAGATCCAACCCTGTGTACAAGAAGATCCCGGTCCTCCTCCACCACGGCAAGCCGGTCTGCGAGTCGATGATCATCGTCGAGTACATCGACGAGGTCTAGGCCGCGGCCGGCCTCGCCATCTTGCCGGCCGATCCCTACGAGCGCGCTCTCCACCGGTTCTGGGCTGCGTACATCGATGGCAAGGTATGCGTTGAGGAATAATGACAAACAGGTTACCTGCCAATTCCATCTTATCCAAACTTAGGCTCGAACCCTAAACCACATCGATGAAAATTGCATATCTATTTTTCTACTCGAACGATAAGTCTTAATACACTAAAGATATACTTTCCTTTATCTCATGTGGCTTAGCCGAAATATTCCTATTCTAAAATAGGATTCCTGGAATCAGCACCTTTCTTGTATATGAAATTTATGTTTTTACTGGTTGCATATAGATTATTTGCTTATTTGTGATTTATCGTCATTTGATTTAAATTAACCAATCTTGAAGCTACTCTACTTTTAGAAGATCAATCCATTGCATATAAATATAGTTCTGAACTCTATTTAGAAAAATAAAATTATAAAATATAGATTCAAGAGAGACAATCGTGGTCAGTTTAGTTTTTAACGTCACGAAAACCTAAAGCTGATTGATGATAAGATGCATAAAGTTTAAATTATACTGATCTATGAACTCAATTATTGATACAAATTCTAATTAACACCCAAAAGTTGTTGTATTACATATTTTTCTTCTAATCAGATATCGCAGTCGGTAGATATTCATGAATTGGACCCCGGATCCAACCTTAATTAGCCATTGAGGTTTCTGAATTCGAGTCTGGTACTGATACCCATGTTCCTATCTGAATTCATTTCAAGCGTAATTAAAGGTTATCCAATCCCGATCTCACTGTCATGTCAGACTCAATACTAAAGGAACATGACTTGTGCTATTCTTATCTCATATCAGGAATAATACTGTGTAGGGTACCATCCAAGTCTGATTTGGGTATATACTTCTCTATCTAAAGGATGCCCAATTTTGATTTAGAAGCACATGCAGATCACTGTTATGTATCCTATTTCTCATGTTCCAAATTGCTCCTATGACAATTAACCTTGATTGGCGCCAAGAAGGATAGAATTGTGGCTATGAGAATGGCAATGACTTGGTTTCTCTCTTCACTCTCTGTTATACTGCAGTTATTCCCATCAGTACTTGCAATTGCAAAGGATGAGCCCAAGATGACCAAGGTGGAAGCAGTGGAGCAGCTACACACAGGGATAAAGCTAATGGAGGAGGCCTTTGAGAGGCTGAGCAAAGGGAAGGGCTTCTTCGGAGGCGACGCCATTGGATACCTTGACATTGCTCTTGGCTGCTTCTTGGGGTGGTTCAAGGTATGTGAAGAGGTGACTGGGTTCAAGTTCTTGGACGATGAGAAGTCACCTCTCCTTGTGGGCTGGGCGGACAGGTGCTGCTCTGATGAGGCTGTGAAGGATGTGATGCCGGAGAATGAGAGGTTGGAGGAATACGCTAAATTGTGCCGGGCTAGGCTGAGGGCCACTGCAGCAGATTGAAACCATCATGGAGGTCAGTATATTTAATAGCAAAGCAAGTGGATTCTGGTCTTTTACTATGGAGCGGGGAGCAGTTGAATAGTGCTTGCTCAGGGATAATAACCAGTACAACATACTACATGTGTACTACATGTATACGCTAAATTGTGCCGGGCCAGGCTGAAGGCCTCTGCAGCATATTGAAACCATCATGGAGATTAGCATAGTTCATAGCAAAACAAGTGGATTCTGGTCTTTTACTATGGAGTAGGGAGCAGTTGAATGATGCTTGCTCAGGGATAATAACCAGCACAGTTTACTAGGAGTAATATTCAAGTGAATTATGGTTGTAATGGAATTCATATGTATAAATTCATGGACAATAGTTCTAAGATATGAGGTTTCTGGGTTACACCTTGGTCTCGAACATTTGGGAGCCTCTGGTTGCCAAAATTTAAGGTAGATTAGATCGGTACCTATGCACGGTGTGCTGTCAGTGATTCCTGAATATAAAACATATTATTCCAAAATTTATCTGTAGAAAGGTATTGAAAATTAGGATGCTCTGAGTTTTCACAGTTCATAAGAAATATGTAGTCCTTGTTGAAAGGAGATGAACTTCCAAAATCTTTTACTGTGAGGAAGTTGGTAGTGTTGTATTGCATGAAACACTGACATTGTTGATGTGCTTGGAATGATCAATCAAACTCGTCATCTTAGTCTTGGATTCGGGATGGCATTGAGGATTCTTTCATGACCTCCAAAACTTTGATACCAGCAATGGTGGATCAGTAAGAGTTTGGAAGGATAACTGGATAGAATATGAAGCTTTATCCTCTATGTTCTCCCATCAAAGTTCTTTCACGACTCATCCTAATGCCTGCCTTTGGGTAAATCACACATCACTTGCATTTGCTGCCGTTGGATTAATTGGGCAAACAAGTTGAATGTGGACTGGTTGAACTCTGCCTCTACTTCGATGTGGTTTATGTGGAATGAATGAACGCAACAAATGCATGTTTCAGCAGCCACACTGTATCGCAAGTCAGGGCTAATTTTTATATTTAAAAAATTTATATTAAAATCTTTATAATTAAAAAAATAAAATATTTAATTTTATTTATCCTAATATCATTGGTTTTAGCAATAAAAGATATAACACGTGCATAAATAATAAAAAATGATAGACAAAAAAGTAATCTCAATTATGGTGGCAGATTAATTATATATTATCCTTCTGCAATTAGACCTCTTTAACATCCTGGTTAATAGATTTAAAAATTTATATAGTTATGTAAGTGAAACATTTAATCTTATTTATTCTAATATTATCAACTTTATCGAAGAAATATTTAATTTCATTTATCCTAATGCTATCAATTTTATCGATTGAAAATATAGCATGAAACAAAAATAATAAGCCAAAAGATAATTTTAATGATGATACCGTAGGTAATTGTTGTGGTGGTGCTGGTCGACAATAATAACGTGATGGTTGATCTTGTCAATACTAATTTGAACAATGATAAGAGAAAGAAGATGAGACAAAACGGTAAGACATTTGCGTTGATGTCAAAGGATGAAAGTGAAACATCTGTGTTGACACTATATCAATCTACCACATCTTTCTCCTCCTACATCGCTCTTCATCTACATCGGTGTCAGAAGGAAGTGAGGCAAACTGGCGTGGCACTATTTATACATGTGATGTTAGAATATATATATTATAAAATTTTTAATCCAATAATTTTTTTGTCTATAATTTTTTATCATATATATATATATATTTGTTAGTAAAATCGATAGTATTATGATAAATGAGTTTAAATAATTTATTTTTTATAATTATAAAAATTTTAATATAAATTTTGAAAATCTAAAATCGAGATATTAAAAAGATATAATTGGCGTCACAAGCCACTCAGTTATCTTTTTTGTCAATTCTTTCTCCTGTTCTATCTGTCCTTCAACCGATTTCGACAAAGTAGGAGACTAATCTCCATCTTTCTTCTAGTAAAAAAGGAACAGCACGCCGCAGAAGATCCAAAATATTGCAAGTGGAAGAAGATTTCTGTGAGAAAGTAGAGGCAGATTGCTGTCGGTCTTCCAAGATTTCATCGCAGAGTTTCTTCTCATTGGTGCGTTGACGTAGCGATGTGAAGGGTCGATGCATTGGAGGTGACGCCAAACTTGATTCGGTCAGAGAGTTCGTGTAAAAACACATTCTCAACAGTTCGGGGAGGACTTTACTCTTCCATTAGCCATTAGTCTACGCCTTGCCTTGTCTTGCTCCGCAAGAAACTCTCCTCCAAGAGCGAACCCGAGCGTGGCTGCCTCTCAACTCGGAGATCCATGGCGGCGGCAGGGGGAATAGAGGTGAAGCTGATCGGGGCATGGCCGAGCCCGTTCGTGCTGCGTGCGAGGATCGCGCTGAACCTGAAGGGGGTGGAGTACGAGTTCCTGCAGGAGAAGTTTGAGGAGAAGAGCGAGCTGCTTCTGAGATCCAACCCGGTATACAAGAAAATCCCCGTCCTCCTCCACCACGGCAAGCCCATCTGCGAGTCGATGATCATCGTGGAGTACGTCGACGAGGCCTGGCCCGCCGCCGGCCGTGCCATCTTGCCGGCCGACCCCTACGAGCGCGCACTCCACCGGTTCTGGGCCTCGTACGTCGATGACAAGGTACGCACGCTGATCACAGAAGGGAGCTTTAAGGTGGCGACGACGGACTAAACTGCTCTCTCCGTTATCCTTGCTGCATCGCAGTTGAACCCATCGGGGGCTGCGTTATCGAAGGCGCAGACGGAGGAGGCCAAGGTGGAAGCAGCGGGGCAGGTGATCGCGGGGCTGAAGCTACTAGAGGAGGCATTCGGGAGACTGAGCAAAGGAGAAGGATTCTTCGGAGGGGACGACATCGGATACGTC